CAGGGAGCCCGATGCGGGACTCGATCCAGGGACTCCAGGATCATGACCTGAGCCGAAGGCAGCCGCTTAACCGACTGAGCCACCCAGGCGCCCCTAATTCGTGGAGAATTTTAAATATGAACAATTTAAATGACAAAAGTATAATTCTTAAAAGATAAAGCACTTATAATCTTATAAATACAACTTCCAGATTTATATCTAATTTGTAAAATAAGTAGAGAACGAGTTAATACAGAGAAAGGAAAGTGAATGAAGGAAAATTCTTACGGACATGAAAAAGCTTTAAAGTACTTACTTAATGTTAACTAAACTACAAAAACCACATACTCTATTAAGTAATCCAACCATTGATATACTATTTTTTAAAAAGTTGATAGTATAAAAAAAGACTTAGAACCAATAAGACACTCTGATCCAAAGAATGATCAGAAAAATATTTAAATATGACAAGGCTGAGCTACCTTACCCCTAGATAACTGTATCATCTCACAAGAAGTGAGCATCAGAGCTAACCATGTTCCCTTCCGTTTATGTTTACCCGGGTGCTCTCACGTAAGATCCGAAGAGGACCGAGGGCAGAGCCTGTAAGAAGGCACCTGTTCTTTCTCTACAGCCAGGAAAGTAGGCACAGGGGTCAAGGGGGAACGGTCAAGAGTCTGCTGCCGGGGAGGAATCAGCTGAGGCGCGGGGGCCCCTCCCCGCTTCTGTAGCCGGGACGATGAGCTGGCCTCCGAAATCCAGCCCCAGGGGCTCCCCGCCCTTTCCCAGGATTTGTGGACCCGTGGGGACGAACGCGAGGGCCTCCAGAGCCAAGCGGGCAGAACGTGTTCCATCTTCCGTGTGACCCCCACTTACTAGATTAGCTACCCCGCAGGAATCTTAGAGCTGAGCAAGAATGAAGCCTCTGCTTGGGGAAGCTAGGAACTGACCATAGGTTCCTCTCCGCTGACTTTGGCAGCTTCCACAGTTTTACCAATAAATACAAGGCATGGCGTTGCAGGAGACCGTCCCGACCCAGCCCTGCGGTCCTGGCGTCCAGGACGACCAGGTGGGAGACCACGCAGGAGCAGACATGGACAGCGGGACTCGGAAGGGAGGGAAAGGGCGCCCCGAGGAGAGAGACCCCGGGCACGCAGACCGGGGGAAGGAGGAACGGGGGAGGGACACCGGGGAAGGGGAGACCCCCCAGGAGGGAGCCTCGAGGCCCCGCGCCCGAACTGCGAGCAGCGCTCACCTGGACGCGGCCCGGCAGACGTGCGTCCTAGGCCCCGCTCTCCAGCGCTCGGAGTCAAGCAGCCGACAGGGTCGCGCCTTATCGCATCCCTTTCCAGGCGGCAGGCCCGCCCCCGGGGCGGGGACCCGGGCGCGGTCGGGCGCGGGGAGGGTCCTAGCCGTCCGTCACCCTCTCCGGAGCGCCGTCGCCGCGGACGCGGCCCAGAGAGAGGTGCGTCCCCCTTAGGGGGGCGGGGCCTGCGTTCCCGTCGGCCCTCGGGCGGCGCAGTGCACGTCGGGATTTGTAGGAGGGTGGGCTTGGGTCCCGTCGGGGGGCGCATGGCACGTCGGGTCGGAGTAGGGAGCGACGCCCGCGAGTCTCATTGTCCTTGGGCGGCGCTGTGCACGTCGGAGCCGGGAGGGCGCGCGGGAGGTGAGGTCCCGTGAGCCCCCGGGCCACGCTGTGCACGCTGGGAGCTGGGGGGCGAGGCCTGGGTGCCGCCCGTCCCCCGGGCGGCCCGGTGCACGCCGGGAGTTGGAGTTCCGCGGGTGTGGACCTGTCGCGGTTCCCCGCTCTCCTTCCCCGGCGGTGTCCCGGGCGCCGACGCCGAGGAAGAGCACAGCGCGCCGGGCCGGGGCGCCTGCGCAGACGGCCGGAGCCGGCGAGAAGCTGGGGTGCGCCGCGGAGAATGGTAGGTGGTCCGCGGTGTCGCCTCCCACCGGGTCCCTCCTGCGCGCCGGGGCCCGAGGGAGCGCCGGGGTCGGGGCGGGGGCCGGGAGCCGGGGAGCGCCGGGGTCGCGCCTCGGGGGCGGGACTGGGGCGGAGGCTGGGGAGCGCGGGGCGCGAAGGTCACGGGAGTGGCGGGGTCGCCGGCCGGCCTCGGGCCCGGAGGGCTCTGCGGGGAGGCGCGCAGGTGGGAGCCTGCCGGGTGTCTGACAAGGAGGAGGCGACTCTGAACAGGGCTGGAGCGGAAACGCGGGCAGCCGGGGGGACGAGGAGGAAAGCCCCTGGTCCAGAGATGAAGCGGGGAGGGTAGTGCTTTGGAGCATTACGCTAACGCAGAGCGGCCAGCAGGTGGCCTGGGGAGTCCGGAAGGGTAGCGCTGCCCGGGCAGGGCCTTGTCTTCCGTGCGCAGGGAGTAGAGTTTGTCCAGGAGACCATGGCAGCACAGGAGGTTTTTCAGAAGGCGGCGTGGGATGTGGTCCTGTTTGTATTTTGTCGGGAGAATAGGAGTTGGACCGGAGGGTTCAGGATTGCAGGGAAGACCAGTTAGAAGCTGTTGTGATATTCTAGGCAGGAGGAGGTGACACTCTGTAGGAACAAGGAGGAGTGGAGGGAGGGAGAGGATCTTCACTGAACTATGAAGAACCAGCTTACCAGTTCCCGGCTTGGGCACCTGAGCAGCTGGTGACATTATTGACCAAAAGAGGAAGTCTAGAAGGAAGAGCAGGTTTATGTGGGAAGACAATACGGTCATGCCGAAGAAAGAGACATAGAGGGACAGCCCAGAAGAGGGACTTCTTAAAATGTAGTGGAAACCGTGGTAGTCGGGGGGGGGGGGTGTCACCATTTATTCAATAAATTCAGAGGTTTCTCTGTGCAAGGAAGGTAGGGCACTAGGTGCAGGGGTTTGACTGTGAGCAA